CCTCTCACAATCTGGGACAGCTGGCTCCACACTGCTTGCCTACCTGCCTGCCTGCCTGCCTGATTGCCACTAACCGCTTCTGCCTGCCAGCCTGATCACTCCCTAACCACTCCCCTGCCAGCCTGGTCGCCACCAACTGCCCTCCCCTGCCAGCCTGGTCACCCCCAACTGCCCTCCCTGCCAGCCTGCTCGCTCCTAACTGCCCTCCCCTGCCAGCCATCTTGTGGTGGCCATCTTTGACCACATGGGGGCAGCCATCTTGTGTGAGGACATGATGGTCAATTTGCATATTACCTCTTTATTATATAGGATATGTTGTTTATCAGGCCCATCCATTAAAGGGTAACTGCTGCTGCTGCTGCTTATTTTCATTCTTATTCATAAGAATATATCCTAGGCGTTTAGGAGAAATCGGATTTCTTTTGAACACATGCCAGATCATCTCTTTTGGATAGGCGCAGAAACATTAGTGATGTTATTTGTGTCTGTAATGATGAATGGAAGTGTAATTGATTTCATGGGATTATGTAACTAGAAGTTTTGAATTTGCAGGCACAGAATTTTTAATCTGATGTTTCTCCCTGCAGATTTTCCTCTGTGCTGGAATCCTATAGGTCACACGCAGCGTGTGGCACCACTTGTGATAAACAGCCAGCCCAATCCCATTGTGTTATGCTCTTTGAGGCCCCCTTTAGACTGTTTTATCTCATTTGTAAATGTAGAGTCCTGTTCCCCTTCCTAATTATTCTGATTTGGAAGAAAAAGGATGTGCCCAGGACTTTCATTTTAAGAGCGCCTCCCACCCCCACCCCCCAAGCTGACTCGGATGCACGGGCAAGTTTTTGATGAAACACGGCTTTGGTCTTTCCTGCACACAACTCTACCTCCTTCCCTCCATCTTTCATTCTCTCCTTCTTTGAGCTTTTGAATATTGTCTCTTTTGTATACTTTCTCTGGTCTTTGATCCTGTCCCCTATTCCCACTGTAACAACATCCCCTTCTCTTTTCCCCATCACTAGAATTATTTTTTGAAAGGCTTCAAATAATCTTTGTCTCAGTTAATTACATGTAATTCATATACACAACTGGTAGTTCTTTATATAAGTCACACAATTCCCATGGTTTGTGTTAATAGAAATGACAAGAATGTGAAAATGTTTTATTAATGGAACTTGTATCTCCAAGAGCATGGTTCTCCTCTGCATCTGTGCCTCTGTGCTGTCTGATTACCTATCAAGATGTAAAACACATATTTGGTTGTGATTAAATTTTGTTATTAAATTTAGGATCCCTCCACCTGGAATGGAAACTCACATACCAGTTCTCTTCCTTGATTTGAACGGTAAGTAGACCCCTAACTGTCTAGGGGTTATCACATTTAATTAAGGTTTGTAATCTCTTCGGACCCACATGATTTTGATCCTTATTGAATCACTTTTCTAATTACTCATATGCCATATCTAGGTGATACTGTTAGTCCAACTAAATGTATATGACCATGACATGTAGAGCATTGGAAGAAAGGTATGGATATTTAATCTTTAAAAGAGAGATTGAGAACTTCATACAGAAACACTACTGCAGTTATTGCTCTGAAATGTTAACAGACATGGAAATTACCTGAGAAAATAATCACCCTCAGAGACTCTGAATCTCTAGGCTTTGCAAGGGAGTAGGCATCTGCATTTCTGACTAGTGTCCTTTGCTCCCACCACAGTGGTGTTGGTACCAGAACATGACAGTCCCCCTACGTTAGAATTGTCCTTTACTGTAGCAATTAGATCAAAACTGGGTGAATCTAGAACAGTGGTTTTTAATATGTTTTAATAGTAAAATCCATTTTCACAATGAAGTCTTAAATGGAACCCCAGGCATAGAAAACAAAAGCAGAGTTGCTGAGTGTGGGGATAGAGAGGCTCTGGCAAGCCCTTGTGCAAGGCCATTGGGATCCTCAGCACACAGCCTCAAAACCTCTCTTCTGGAGGGAAGTCCAACAATGGATGGATGGCAGACATGAGGAGATTGGCTTTGGCTCTTCATATGAAGAATTTTTTAAAAGCCTAACAGTAGACTGTGCCTCATGAAGTGGTGAGTTCCCCATTATTGGAGGTGTATAAGCAAAAACTGGATGACCATTTACAGAGATTCGTGAAGGGTGAATCCCGCTTTGGTACGACATTGGAAGATTATCAGATTTCTCCAAAGTGCTCAGGACTTTGATTCTAAATTGATAATTGAACTTCACAAAATCTAATTTAATGCAAGTTATAAGTAGGACAACAAACCTAATAGTAGGTTATAGGAGGAACTCGTATCAGAAACCAGCAAAATTTTAAGTTGTATATATGTAATAAAAATATTTGCTCCTTGGACTACATATAGAATATATTCAGTTCATTTGGTAGGAGACTCACAAAGGCAACTTTTGGCCCCATGGTAGAGTCTGTAAAGAATAAACATGATTGTGAAGGAGAATTGGAGTCTATATCAACTGCAGGATAAGGAATGAAAGAAAAATTGAACGTGTTACATGTAAACTTCTATTTGGTCTTAATTAAAAACTGACTTTCCCCCCACTTTTGTTTCTGTGCCCTGGTCTTGGTTAGCGGATGACCTCAGTGCCAATGAACAGCTTGTTGGCCCCCATGCCTCGGGTGTGAACTCCATCCTGCCCAAGGAGCATGGCAGCCAGTTTTTCTACCTGCCCATCATAAAGCACAGTGATGAGGAGGTAATTGATCCCCAAAGTTCTCTTTAAGGGTTTCATGTGCCTGTGGGCCTGTCTTCCCATTAAACTCCGATGGTCGGCTTTGGGGAGGAGGACTGGGAACTTTTTAAAAAATAGAACTTTTGGTTGAGGAAAATATTATTCAGTTGAGTTGCACTTATTTTCTTTCTCCAGTGGGTGATATACCTGACTTGTGTCTTGTTTCCATCTCTCCATCCTTCTCCCTTTTCTAGGTTTCAGCCATAGCCTCTTGGGACTCCTCGGTGCATGATTCTGTTCACTTGAATAGGGTAACTCCCCAGAATGAAAGGATTTACCTGATAGTGAAGACCACAGTCCAGCTCAGCCACCCGGCTGCCATGGAGTTAGTGTTACGAAAACGGATTGCAGCCAATATTTACAACAAGCAGGTAGTACGGGGCCTGATTCAGCAGTTGCATAGAAGAGCTCAAAGTTTACCCTTCTTTCACAAAGTAGTGTTTGTGATGTTAACACAGTGGATGTGCAGATTGTTACCATACTGGCCACGTTACAGTCTGATTCTCATTTATCCAAAATAGTGGGGTCTGAGGATAGCAAAGTTAATGTCATCCACAAGGACTTTCCACCTTGATCGATTTGAGAACCATAATCCTAGCAGGCAATGGAGCTCTGAGATTTTACTGTTTAAAGGGTTAAGTGCCGGGTCCAAAAGGATTAGTGACAAAAGCAGGACAAAATTCAGGCCCCAAATAAATCCCTATCCGAATGCCTCCCCAGGTCTCAACTCAGAGGCACTGTCCACAAAACTGATCCTGTCCAGTTTTCTTCTGATGATGCGAGAATAGACTGATTCAACCTTGGCATGATCAGAAGAAAGGCAGCAAATGGGAGAGAGAAGCAAGCACAATAAAAAACCCTGAGAGGCTGCAAATTCTATACTCTGCCCAGATAATAGCAGGACATCATTGTTCCTCAGGGGTGGACACAGAGATTTTTTTTTTCTGTTTTTTTTTTCTGTTCCTTTTCTGTTGTTATTGTTCTGTTTTGAGTATTGTGGGTGTATCAAAAACAGTGATTGGTAATGCTTTTACAATTTATACAAAACTAAATAACTTATATTTTCAGATCACTTCATTCAGTTTTCCTTTTCTACCAGAGTTTCACCCAGAGTTTGAAGAGGAGAATGTCATTGAAAAATATATTTTATTCCTGCGGTGTAACCTATGAAATAGTATCCAATATACCAAAGGTAAAAATATATATATGACTTTTTTAAAAGATCGCAATGTTAAGTACTGGAAAATGTTCATTCTCAAAACTTTTAAATCATTTTCTCACCAGAGTCTTGATGAAAAAAATATACTGTTCATCTAGAAGTATTATAATTGTCTTCTTGTCACTTTAGGCAACAGAGGAGATTGAGGACCGGGAGACACTGGCCCTCATGGCAGCAAGGAGTGAAAACGAAGGCACGTCAGATGGAGAAACGTACATTGAGAAGTACACGCGTGGCGTGCTGCAGGTGGAGAACATTTTGAGCCTTGAGCGGCTCCGGCAGGCAAGTAACTGGGCCAGAGGTTGAGTCGCCAATCTTCACTGCAAATGGACAAAGATGAATTTATTTACCAAACACCTTCTCTCTATACCTATCTGAGAAGGAACACTTGAATAGCGGTCTCATTAGAAAAAACAGTTACTTTGACAAAATATATAGTTAGAGGTATTTCTTCTACATTTCCTCTGCTCATCTATAAAAAATTTGACAACATATAAATTTCTTTAATTCAGCAATTTTCCTGATTTTATTTATGAAAAATATTTTTGATAGATTAAGCAAAAAAATTAGTGGGTACTAAAAGTTTCCAGTATTGTAAATATGGGGGAGCATGTGTGGGATTGAAATGATCTTTAGTTCTGTATTTCTAAGTCATCCGCAATAAACATGTGTTACTTTTGTCATCAAAGGAGGGAAATTAATATTATTTCCAAATTTACAGGCAGTCACAGTCAAAGAAGCACTTTCCACCAAAGCCCGGCACCTGCGGAGGAGCCTCAGCACACCGAATGTGCACAATGTGAGCACACCCTGCAGGGTCCGGGCGGCGGGCATGTCCCACAGGAGGGCACCGGAGGTCGGGGTTTATAGGTGCGAGTAGAACATTCGGCTCCGATGTGGGCGTCCCAAACTGCCACGCCTGCTCCTCTGTCCTAGGGAAGCACACCTGAGGGCACAGCTGTGTAACGTGATGGACCTTTAGTGGAATCTTGCAAATACTAGACAGTAGAGAAAATGAAAGCATGAGAGCTACTATTAGGAAATTGTAGCTCTTAATATTAAAGAGAAGAGTAAAAAATAATGAGGGGAACATCTGTCTTACAAAGGAAAGAAAAACCACCTATGAAGTATTCTACCTTCCCCCATATGCACACATACAAATTGAACCTAAATCTGATCAGGGCTCTAGATCTAACTATTAATATTTACAAGGGCTAGAGGAAAATGTTAAATGACACCATGGGGATTCGATTAGCAAAATCCCGACTATGGGGAACTTAGCAGGAAGAATGACCTAGATAGAAGGGAAAACTCATAAATTAAAAGAGATAAGATATATCCAATTGCAATGTATGAGCTATTTTGATCCAGATTCAGGGTTAACTGTGAAATGTTTATGAGACATTTGAACACTGACTGGATATCTGATACTATTCAGGAATCACTTAACTTTTTAAAATGTGATAACACTATTATACTTATGGTTTTTACTTAGAGTGTTTAAAGGAGGAGGAGTAATTACTTATTTTTAAGAGACTCAGAAAAACATGAAAAAAAATTTTAAGTTAGAAAACTCAATATTTTTTAAAAGAAGGTAATAATAAGTATTAGAACAGAATTGTAAGTTCAATAAAGAAGGAAATAAATATCAAATAGAGGTATATCAAATAGAAGAGAAACAAAACTATGAAAAATGGTAGTTTTTTTAAAAAAACTGGTCAAATGGATTGACTTGTATTTTTATTGATTGGGGCAGAAAAGAAACTAGGAGAGAAGATAGTAATATTGGAAATAAAAAGGAGCTTATCACTACAGAGAGAACAGAGATTTAGACATCATAAGAGCAAACTATCCTATATAATAAAGAGGTAATATGCAAATTGACCCTCATGCCCTCACAAGATGGCTACCTATGACCAGGCTGGCAGGGGGGTTAGTGAGGGACGACCAAATGCCTGAACAAGCAGGTTGTGTGGGGCAACCAGGCCAGCAGGGGGACCATGAGGGGCAGCCAGGCTGGCAGCAGGGGGGGGCGGGCAGTTGGGGGGGGAGGGGGGGGCTGTGGGGGGCGCCGAGGCGGGGGGGGGGGGGACAGTTAGGGGCAACCAGGCTGGCAGAGGGGGGCAGTTGAGGGTGATCAGGCCGGCAGGGGGAGCAGTAAGGGGTGACCAGTCCAGCAGGGAGGGCAGTTGGGGGTGACCTGGCCAGCAGCAGGGGGCAGTGAGGGGCAACCAGGCCGGCAGGCAGGTGAGCGATTAGGAGCCAGCGGTCCAGGATTGTGAGAGGGATTACCGACTGCCGGTTTAAGCCCAATCCCCGGGATCAGGCCTAAACCGGCAGTCAGGGGTCCTGGATTGGAGAGGGTACAGGCTGGGCTGAGGGGACCCCCCTCTCCGTGCATGAATTTCGTGCACCAGGCCTTTAGTGAATAATAATATGTCAGTAAATGTAAAAGTTTAAACAAAGTGGAAATTTCCTACAAAAAAAAAAATAAAACCGAATCAAAAAGAAATAGGAAATCTGAATCCAGTTATCACCATAAAGAAGGCCTCAACTCATGAGGAGACTATGTTCATTGATGTGAATACACAGTATCAAAAAAATTGGCACATCTTCTTAAACGGATCTATAATTCCCAACATAATTTATTTTAGGATTTGATAAGCTGATCCTAAAATCCCTATGTAAGAGCAGAGCTGAAGGTGCATGTACCTTATCAACAGGCAGAGACTTCATGCCTCAATATATGCTCAGAGATTCTCAGATACGTGGGTTACGTTTAGGACTAAAGGATGCTGAAATAATACACATGTTAGTGCTGGTAGTGTGTAGAAAGAGTGGTGCTTAGGGGCAGAAGCAACAAGTTTTATTTCAACATAGTTTATAATAAAAACAATTAGAAGCAGCCTGGATGTCCATCTAGAATACAACAAAATAAATTATTAGACTATTGAGGAAGACCATATATAGTAAAATACTACTTATATGAATTATAAAAATGTGCAAAATAATGCTATATATTATTTATAGGCATATGTATAATATTATGTAAAACCTGTATGGGAATAATAAACCCCAAATTTAGAAGAAGAGAGGAGGTGATCATACAGGCTTCACTTGTATATGTAACAACATATTTCTTTATACATGTGTATATAAAATTTATGTAAAATACATAAGCCACATTGGTAAAACCATTCATCTTTTATAGGTCTCTTCCAGTCGACCAGACCTTTCTGGCTTTGATGAAGATGATAAGGTGTGTACCTGTGGGCATGGCTAGTTTATTAGCATTCGCTAAATTGGGAAAGGTAGGATATCTTGGTGTTTTTAAAATTTCTGGACTCCCCATCTTAATCTTATGCAGATCATTGTCTCCTTATGTCCATTTTCAAGTTCAAATACTTGATATGAAACTGCTGCTGTGCACTCTGAGTGTTACATTGTTACTTAGTATATAACACTGCTTTCCATACCAGCATAATACCACACATAATTGATTATCTGTGTTTAGGAGACTAACTTTAACCGATTCAAGGTGTTACATCCACCATAACAAAATCACAATTATTTCAAGTGTGTAAAATTAGGGATTTAAAATCAAGGGCATTTGCAACATCATCTTATTCAGCACACATTTCTTAATTATATATTGTATGTAAATTACTAAGCTAGGGACTGTGGGTGATTCAGAGTATAAACACAGATTATGTCCTCAAGAAGTTTAAAATTTAGTTCTTAGAGGCAACCAACTTCTGAGAAGTTCAAGTAAATTAAATAAACTTGTACGATATACAAGAGGAATTTTCTCCCTTAGGATACCAGTATCTTATGCCAGTTTGATACTCTTAAATCTCAGGTATACGTAGAGTAACCATATCACCTAGTTTGCCTGGGGCCGTCCCAGCTAGTGCCTGCTAACCAGGAAAAATTATTAATGGAACCATTTCTCTCTAAAAAGTGTTTCAGTTTGGTCTTTAAGTGATTCAGCCTCCTTAGATACATACCAAATTCATAAAAGTGACTGCTTTGGGGGAGTGAGGAAGATGAATGGCACCTGTAAATCACTCTATTTGTAATAATTTTATTAAATTTTGAACAAATGCAATAAAATATTAACATTTATTCACTCTAAGTATACCTTGTACTTGTATGACAGTACTGGTCATATTTAGGACTTTAATATCTGTTTAAAATATTTTATAATAAAAAATAGAGAAAAGTACATACTGCCATCCCATTAAAAAAATAGGAAAAAAAACTCAAATCAGGCTTCATTTTTCATTTCAGAGGGATTTCATTACAGCTTAACCCACATTTTACCTTGTAGGGTTGGCCAGAGAACCAGTTAGACATGTCTGACTACAGCTCCAGTTATCAAGATGTAGCGTGTTATGGGACTTTACCCAGGGATTCACCTCGAAGGAGTAAAGAAGGTAGTGGTGAGATTGTTTTTCTACGTTATCTATATATATAAGAGGCTAATATGCTAAGTGTCCATCCAGGTAATGACGTCACCTAGCAACACCCGGCTTCCTCTCCCTACCGACTAGCCACTTTGCAGTTTCTTCAGCCCAGAAACACGACTTGCTTCAGAGCCAGGTGGAACCATTTTACACTTTAACCAAATGTCTATGAAGCATTTTCCCAGGCCTCATCTCATTTGATCCTCACAGAAGTCCTGGAGTAGGTAGATAACAGACTCGGTGGGATCCTATTTTCTTTTCATTAGCCAGAAAATGGATACTTAGAAAGATTAGAAACTTCACCCGACTAGTTAAATATTTTACCCTTTGTTCTCCCTGCATGATCTACAATAATAATCTGCTTTGTGTTGATATTTACTGCTGTGTTGTTCACAATTACCTGAAAGAGAAGTTGGGGTGCTTCACTGGGCTGGAAAAAGTTTAGCTAAATCAGAAAGCAGCTCTAATTAAGCAAGTTTATTCTATATCTATAAAAGGCTAAGTTGACTCATGCATGAGCGATACAAACGAGTATAAAGCTCTCGCTGGCGCCAATCACATGCATGTGTTTTGATCTGTCATTGATCGTGAATTTGGTTGACACTTCTACTATAGAGAAAGGGCGAATAGCGATATTAAAATATTTCTTCTAATTAATTTCCTTTCAATGTGCATGAATTTGTGCACTGGGCCAAATTAGTTTACAAATTAGTTTCTTTATAATTCCTCAGGAAAAGCAGGGAGTAAAATTATTTTATAGATGGCAAATAATAAGATAGGAAGCTGAAATTCTAGTTTGCTAGATAATCTGAAACTATTTTCTTGCATGGAACATATGTTCACTTATTTTATTTCTTTTTGCTTTGTATGCAGTGTATCATTCAAATAATAGGCCTTTTGTGTAACACTTTAGAATTTTCAAATCATTTTTCATACATCATTTCCTGGATTGGAAGTCAGTTTTGAGATATATACACAAATCTTATTACATTATGATTAGACTTCATTCTTCCCCAAAAGAATATCCACTTCTGTCATGTTTTTGTACTCAAATTAAAGGATTGTTTAGGAGAACATGTCTCTGATTCCTAAACCAATTTTTAAAATGATACCAGAAAGTAATTTAATCAGTGATAACATTATTACCTAAGTATTATCATCTTTCAATGCCCTGATGGGAACAGCATTCTGTGGATGTGAAAATCAGTTATATTATTTTACACCTTGTATTTTACTTAAGTGCCATTGTACCAGTGAGCTGGGGAGAAAATATAGGAGGAAAAGAGACCCAAAAATGAAAGAAATGAGTAAAAGCCAGAAAGAAAATTGTCCTTAGTCATATGGAGAAGTCTTGAGGCAAAAGGGGGCTTGCAAGAAAATTTATACAGTGTTCACTCATTATTTATTGAGCCCCTATTTGCTATATGCAATGAAAGAAACAAGAAGGTATCATTTATAGATCTTAAAATCTAACTTTGGAAATGAGATACGTAGAAAATTAGATATTAAATGATAAAGTGCTAAAATGCATGTGCATTCTCAGAACTCTGAGAATTCAGAGAAACAAAATAAGCATGGGTCTAAATTGGTATGGTAAGTGGCGCTTAAGCTGGATCTTGAAAAGGATAGAAAATTTGGTTTCTCATTTCTATGATGACTCTTTTGATTTTGTAGTTATATCTCCATTCTTTTCTACCTCTTTGTTAATGCTTAGCCAATTATTAGCATATTAATGTCTTTGTTATACCAGATACTCCTGAGGCTAGGTTATACCTTGCTTCCTATGTATTGGTTAAAGCGCTCTGTGCCTATAAACCTATGACTTTGTCTTCCCCAGGTTGTACATCAGAGAATCCTCATGCCTTAACAGTCAGCCCTTTTAAAGCATTCTCTCCTCAGCCACCAAAGTTTTTCAAGCCCCTAATGCCTGTAAAAGAGGAGCATAAGAAAAGGATAGCTCTTGAAGCAAGACCTCTTCTAAGCCAGGAGGTAAATGCTTGACTTGTCTGTACCATGTACGATAGGAAAGAATCAATCATGTTGCCTGTGGAGAAGTAACAGTTTGCATTAACAAGTTGGATGCTGCATGTAGACATAGCTGTATGATCACTTCATGGATCCTATTCTGGAATATCTCTTTCTCAAGCACACAGGGTCATTTTTTAATTTGTTGTAATTGCTGTTGTTTTCTTTGTGTCTATGGATTTTCAAAGTCTTTTTTATCTTTCAAGTGAGAAAGAGATGTTCCTGGGGTGTTTTTGAAAATATTAAAGACTTTATTTTAATTTGATAAAACCAATTATGCTATTTGCCATAGAATCTGTGTAGTCTTGTCAGATTTCATTAGTTTAACTCGAGCCTCTGAAATTGTTTGCTGCACTACTCACATGTAATAACGGTGTTTGCATCGCTTTTCTAACTTGCACGTATTTAATATGTAATTTGGCTGTTATCATCTTCTGTGTGTGATGCATCTGTGTGTCTTAACCTTTGCAGAGCATGTCTCCATCTCAGGCACATAACCCTGGCTGCACTGTCCCCTCAGGAAGCAATGGCAGCAGCATGCCAGTAGAACACAATAGCAAACGTGAGAAGAAGATTGTAAGTTCTGGAACCGTTTCTGTCATATTGCCTGGTGGTGGGTTTAAGGCCCTTTCACAATCATCCAAATACTTGAAAAAAAAAAAAAGATATGTATTGGGTCTTTGTTTTGTTGCTGTTGTTTTTAAATGTGACCATCGGTAATGAAATTTTGCATGAACATGGCTGTGACCTGTGCTTTTTTCCTAAGTGTTTATTCTACTTAATTGAATTTATTTTTTTTACTTAGTATAAATTTGCTTAGAAAAAAGGGGAAAAGGCACTTTTCATGATTCTAGACTTTATAAAAAGTGTAACAAAGAGATCACTTTAACTAATGTTGAATCTTTCTGATGTGCCTGTACATATTGGCCAGATTCTGAAGTTAATCTACCTAGAGGAATTGCACTTACTTGGAGTAAGTAATCATGCATCTAGCTGTGGGTATGTTTGCAAGCTTTCTTCATGTTGCTCGATGCTATTGCCAAGATTGTTCTGTAGTTTGTAGCCACACTCCAGTCCATCATCCCCACTCATCATCGTCGTCTCTACATCCCGGATAGCCTTTTAAATTTGCTCTCCAAACATATTCCACATCCCTTGGTGTCAGTCTCGCTTCCCGGTGGCTTATCTATATTTTACCACAGGTAGGTAGGAACTCTACCTGTAAATCCTCATTCCCCAGCACTTGGTTTTCAGCTTACAAATTTGAGAAATTGTTTTTAAAACACTGCATACCAGGTACTTTGGATTATAAATGAAACTTCTATTTAAAAAAACAAACAAACAAAAAACAACTGGGTTGACAGACGTGGAAAGAATTCTCTAATTTTGCATGTAGGCTTTCACTCTCGAGTGGCTTTTCCTAGACTCTGAGAAAGGAAAGCAGCTTGAGCAAGAGGGGCTGCTTGGCGCTGACGTTTGTGTGCGGGCTGCTCTGTGGGCAGTTTCCCTTCCCCGCTGCACCACGGGAGATCCATTCCAGAGGCTCATTATGTGAGGCCCTTTCACAGTTCTGGAATATGCTGCTAATGCACACCGTGTGAAACTAACTAGTTCGGATATGCAGTTGGCCGCTCTGCTGCATGCTTGGAGTGCTAGGGGATCTTAGGAAATGACCTTCTCATTCCTCCTGTGCACTGAGGGAAGGAGAAGAGGCACCATTTCCCCCTCTCCTCTCTGTCCTTCTCTGCTGCCTTTGCTGCTGTGTTCTCCCTGTCCCTCTAGCCCAGTGGTTCTCAACCTTGGCTGCACATTAGAATCACCTGGGAATCTTTTTAAAATCCTGATTTCTGGGCCTCATCCTCTGGAAATTCTGTTTCTTTGTTATGGGGTGGGGCCATATTAGTAACAAAGAAACAGAATTTCCGGAGGATGAGGCCCAGAAATCAGGATTTTAAAAGATTCCCAGGTGATTCTAATGTGCAGCCAAGGTTGAGAACCACTGCTCTAGCCCCAAGTCCCCATCCAGTTCCTGCAGGAGAGGAGAGTGCACAACAGCAGCTGCTCCTCTGAATCTTAATGAGCTGCTCAGTCACTTGGTTGCCCACCCCCTGCTTAATTAATAAGGGCTGCAGCTCGGGCTAGAAAGGCCAGGTGGCTTTGTTACCCTCAGATTTCTTGGCTCTATGGCTGATTGGATCTGTTTGTTGACACGGCCCTTACCCACATGGTGCACAGGCACTACATTGAAACTCATTTCAACAACAGGTACACTTGGGTAGAACACATTAAAAGGCAAGTGAATGACCCTTCTGGGCTGCCCAGCAGATAATTCCACTGTATTCAGAGTTTGCCTAATAGTTATTTTCTATACTTTAATGTTTTTAAAATAAAGCCTACCTCAGGACCTCTGGCTAGCAGGGGTAGACTGGAACCAGTTTCTCTTGACCCGGGAAGTCTCAAGCAGCAGCGAGCCTCTGGTCCACTGAGCAGGACTCGAAGGTACCATCTTACTTGAGAGATGGGCCTCTGCTCTCCTCTGAAGCTATTAAACTATTTATTTTATTTCAGATAGCAGCTTTTCCAGGATGTTTTGGTGGACTTTAAGGATATCACTTGCTTGACCTGAGATTCTAGTTTCTTTTTAGGAAGAGTTTATTTCTCCCCTTATAAGTGGATATATACTGCTTTCTTCCTAATCCACTTTCTTTTTCCACTCTTGAAAAATGAGAGACTGAATCAATGGTTCAGTCTCATCAAGGGAGTTGGAAATCATTTTTGAGAAGCAATATTGAGACATTGTTCCTTTTATTTTTTAGCCCATGTAATTACCAAAGTAACCTGTAATTTCACAAAAAATATAGTGAATATAGCTATGCTTGGTCCTTTAAAGCAGTATTTTGTTATCATTTAAGACAAGTACTTTGTGTCATGTATGAATAAGATAAAGGCAACGATATGCATTCGGAGTCTAAGTCATGAAGCAGAGAGAAGAGCAGCGAGGAAGTCATTTCTCCCCCTCTTAGGTCTTGTATACACAGCATGTGGCTTATTTCTCCCATTTTTCATAAGAAGAAACAAAAGACTTGTTGAGTGACTGGCCCAAGGTCTCACAGTTAATGAGATGTAGGAACAAAGGCTCTGTCCCTCAGCAGAATTGGGCTGGCCCCCGTGACCCCAGAGATGGTGCAGTTTCAGTCACTCCTCTGCCACACTTTCTAAAAGGTCTGCCCATCTCTTAGCACCACGGACAGGCGTACTGGGGGTCCTTGGCTGGTACAATCTTTCTGAAGATCCAGACCGTCTCCCTGATGAACAACACAGAGCCAATTATAGTGGGAATGAAAATGAGTTTAACAAGTGAAACTCCTTGCAGAGTCACTGCTTTATGTGGGTTTTGATTCCTTCTTAGAATCAAGATATTTTTTCTATACTTAAGTTTCAGTTGCATAAAATAAATTGCAAAAATCAAATCATGAAGACTGTAGCTATAGAGAAGCTTGAGAACTTAATTCCATGATCCACTTTTAAGTATAGTTTTCATTCTTCTTGCCTTTAAGACATAGTAGGATGTGCTTAGTTTAGTCTTCTTTAAGCTGCAATGATAAATAATATTTCTGGAATAAAAAATCTACGTAACCAAATTCCCTTAACATACAGTTTAAGACAATTAAGTCCTCTCGTTTCTTTTTGAAGACAATAACTTGATAAACTTTCAGTCTCCTTTTATGTGTTAAATATTTCTTCCATACTCGGTTTTCTTTTTCTGGAATTAGTTGTCCCTGCTGCTTTAGCCCTTCTCCCCACCCCAAGTGCAGAACTATGTACTCATCTCTATTTGAACTTAACATCTGGGGGTTTTTGTAGACTCTAAAGTTTTACTAAAGGTCATTCTAATCCTTTACAACTAATTTTTTTATCTTTGTGAGTTTGACAAATGTACACCTGTTTCTACATATTAGATTTGTGATTGAATATTTCATTTGTTTTATTTTAGGATGACAGGCCTTTCCTCAGTCTTCAGAAGAAATAACTTCAGGCATAAAAAGGGCCCCAAATTTTATTTATCTCACAACAACTAACTCTTTAGTAAAGATACTTGGGCTTGGGAAGTTATGTTTCTTTGCTTAAGTTAAAAGGAAATTTAAGAGATACAAACACTTGCAATTCAGTTTTGAATCTAAACAAGTCAAGTGAAGAATCTAGAAAATACCAACAAAGACCACAATTATCCCCAATCTTTGTTCCTTTACAAACACTCCCCCAACCCTGGAGAAAGAACACTCTACTCCACACATTGGTTAGCAGTGCCACTTAATTTAGAATTCAGCTAAAGATAAGATGGCAAGAGATTAGTGTTGCCAAAAAATGTTTTGCTGATTTCTGGAACTTTATCACTGATATTTGATATTCACCTTTAATTAATAGCCAAGGAATTAAGATTACTGATGCTTTTAAATAATTTATATTCAAGTTATTTTTAAAACTAAAATGTGCTGTAGAGTATTAAACTAGTTTGAGGTATTTAGCATCTAATGAGATGTAAAAGAAAATATTACAATAAAATTCAGTGGATGAAATTTATGTTGATTTGTGAACTACCATCTGCTATATCAGTGGGATGTGGTCTTCCTCCTCCTCCCCAACTTCTCTCTCTCTCTGCCCCTTTCCACCTCCCTCATCCCCTCCAAGTGTCACTCTGATCAGTAAGGTTGATGTTTGGTTCCAGGAGATTTCCGTCCACCAGACAGTGTCCAAGATTGTTGCTCAACATTGGTATTCCCAGTTCTTGGGACAATGGCTGGCACGTAGAGGGTGCTAGATGAATGTTGAATGAAAGTCATATTTTAAAAGAGGAAAGGAATATTTGCAATGTCACCAAATGTTTATAAGGTTAATTAGAAAGGACTAGATAGTAATGTCATTTATTTTTATTTGAATGTAATATACTCATATGTTTTACATTGTTTTCCACAAAATATAAAACAATCATTCATTGGGGAGAGAGATTGGGTAGTTGATAACACCCACTTTTGCATATTTACCAATCTTTTTAAACAGACTTCTCAAGCTATTCGACAAAGGAGATTTCCATTTAAATCTTATCTTCCTTACCTTCTAACCAAATCCTCTATCCATGCTTCCCCAAGCCCCTGGAAAGGTAATGCTAGTACCTACAGCCTTCCAATATTTCGTATAGTGCTGAGGATGCGTGGAGATTGTGATCTTAGCCCTTTTGCTGTCAGGGCCTTATTTTACTGCCCTCTCTACCATAAAATAGCTCAGAAACCTTTCACAAATCACCTTACGGTTTATCTGCACTGTCTTCCCAAGGCGAGGATTGTAAGAACCAGTAGAGCGGCAGCTCCTCCCTCGCTGTCCCTCTTCCTCTCTCCTTTAATTAGAGAAGGAACAACATCCCAGCTGAAGACCAATCGCAAGTAACTAATTCAAGGCCGCTGCACTTTGTTCCAACCTTTTCTTAAACCAGGGGAGCAAACGTTTCTAATTAGCATGGCATGAGCATAGAAGAAATAAATCTTCACATTAGGAGATAATGGGTTTGTGTTCACACATTTCTGAGAACAAGGTACCTGTGTCCATACTGTTGACAAGATTTAACCAAGCTCGAAAGAAAAGGAAAAAAATAAACCCTAAGCATGAATGCCTGTAGTAGTAAAGTATTTAAAACCTATCTGAATAGTGCAGTTGCTCTAAGGAGCTAATGGCTGACTTCTGCTTCACTTCTATAGGACTCTGAGGAGGAGGACAGTGACCTGGAAGCTCTTAACAGGAAGCTGGCAGGCTCACAGCCTTATGTACCGGTGGAGTTTGCTGACTTCAGTGTTTACAATGCCAGCTTGGAGAACAAAGAGTGGCTTTCTTCTAAAGTAGATTTGACGAACTCAAGGGTCTTGGAGAAAGAAGTATCCCGTAGCCCTACCACCAGCAGTATTACCAGTGGCTACTTTTCCCACAGTGCCTCCAATGCCACTCTGTCCGACATGGTGGTCCCCTCCAGTGACAGCTCAGATCAGCTAGCCCTTCCGACGAAAGACACAGACTCCAGTGAGCATTCTGGACTAGCGCTTGGGCACGATCTCAGACCGCCCTCAAACAAAGAGTTGACAGAGCTAGAAAGAGGTTTGGTAAAGGATAAGATCATTATGGTGCCACTCAAGGAAAACAGTGCCTTAGCCAAAGGGAGCCCATCATCCCAAAGCATCCCTGAGAAAAACTCCAAAATGTCCTGTAGGACTGGCTCATGTTCAGAACAAGATGCCTGCTCCAGCAAGAACGGCCACGCCGCCCGGGAGTTCTATTCCCGGGAGGTGACCGTGGAGCACACCACAAACGTCCTCGAGGACCACTCTTTCACAGAGTTCATGGGAGCGTCAGACGGGAATGATTTCGAGGCTCTGACAGATTCTGCTGCTGGAGAGATTTCAAGTAGGAAGAACCTACCAAATAAAATGGACAGTGAGAGCGTCTCAGATGAGCCCCAGGACCCTGGCCAGCCGCATTCCTTGGCAGACGATGACCAGGTAATAAATTCTAGAGGCATTCCTTCAGGTTCTGTGCTACCAGTGACGCACCTGATTGTGCACCAACCCCCAGAGGCCCTTCACCTGGGTACTTAGTAGGAGAGATTCTTTTTGACATTTCTGACAGGGAAGATGGGCCCCCCTGGGGAGCAAGCCCACGTTGCCTGCCCAGCGTCTGTGTGTGGGGAGAAGTTTGCTTGCATAATTTCAGAGTAGAACTAGGAAATACATAGGAACAGTGGCTTTTTCAACTGGCATGTGGGTTTTGTTGAAGGAAGCATTCATGTGGATAAGGATCAGTCAGCCTCATTCATTCCCTGAAATGTTTAATTCTGGTAGTGTCTGCCATATTTCATCAAATTAGTGATTTCTTGGCTTATTAGATACACCATTATTTTATGTATCATTAAGAAGAAATGCTTCCAATTAAACTACATCATATCAGAAGTTGTAAAACACAATCCAGTTTCAGAGATGTTAAATGTTGGGGAAATAACATGCTAAAATGTGGTCATTAGGTGTCCATTGGGTAAAAGGTGCTTTGGGGAAGTACAGGTGAATTGCTTGAGCAACTGAAGTTTGGAACTTCTCTCCCCAACTTAAGAAGAATAATAAAGTTACTCATAACTGTTCTTACAAACCAAACACTTGTTGCCTCAAAAGTCTTCAACTTCTTCTACACTGACCTTCAAGCAGAATCTGCATTGCTGGCCTATGTCAGCTTTCCAGTCCCTCTTCCAAGAAGGGCTTGGACAAGAAGTCCAGGATAATTCTTCCCAGGAACAGTGCTTCTGGACCTAAATGTGCAGTGAATCCCTTGGGGGTGTTGGGCGAGGGTGCCTCTTAAAAATTCAGATTCCCAGCAGCCACTGCCCTCCACACCTAAGATTTTCCTTCCATTGGGATGGATCCTGGAGGATAAGTTTTCACAAACCCCTCCACTGAAGTAATATTAGCAGGGTGTCTGAGGGCTGCACTGGGAGACACAGCCCATAGAAGAGGGAAGAGAGACAACAACCCCCTCATTTCATTGCACAGCAAACAGGAAGCATGCCTTGTTTTTTGCTTTTGAAAGTCTCCTGAACTGTGTCCCTGCCAGATACTTGGATTAAAGGTGGAATTTAGGAAAATATTTGTTGTATTAAAGTGATGTGGGATTATAGTGGTTTTTCTTTTTCTTCATTGCTCTACTATTTTTATTTTAGTTTTCGTAAGTTGCTTTGACATTGTAACAGTTTGAGAACTTTTTAAGTATTAAAGTTTGACTTTTGTTCTCACCTGGATATGACTTAGTATGTGGGCCCAGAAATAACAATTTTTTACTTTAACTTTGGGTCTTGCTTTCCATTACCTTTCCTGGAAGCTCCCCCTGGGGGCCAGGTTTCTCCCTTGTATACTGTAAATTTTAGAACTGGATTCCATCTTAAACCAAATCCTGTGGCCCCTTTAGGAAGAGCCCCTTGTGTAGGGTGGGTGCGTCTGGCTGAGGGTGGTCCCTGTGGGTGGAGAGGGCAGGTGGGAACTGGAGCTTGAACTCACTAGCCTCTGAATTCCAGGGGAGCAGGACCTCGACTACGCGGTGAAAGACAGCAAGCACTTCCTCCACAGGCCCCAGCACCTTCGTCTGGGGTCTTCCTCAAAAGCACCAGCCTCATCTTTAAAACATGCTGCACCCAGCAGGACCTCACACCAGCATGGAGAAGCCATGCACTACCTGGGCCACCACCTCTCCCCTCCTGAGCGAGGAGCAGCAGCAGTGCTTTGCCACCTGGGTGAATCGACAGCTTCTGCTTCCTCCAAAAAGCCAGAAAACCGAAAATCCTGGATTCATTAAGTGGCAGTATTTTTGTTTGCACTTACTACACACCGCACTGTGTAGAAACCTCCACAGAGTCAAACAGACTTATTCTTGTACAATTTTAATCAGTTCTTACTGTAGAATCTGGAGTCAATACTCTAATGTGGGTTTTTTTATAAATAATATATATTATGTATATGAAATGTATCTATAGTATGTCTGTTCTGGGACAGACAGAACTGCACACTAAAATGCAGATAAAATGGTTTGTAGAAATCATAAGGTACTGGACTTTGTTGCAAAGCACCTTGGGCGACCTCATATACACGAGCAGATGAGAGACATTTCATTGCCTAAGAACGAGGTTGCAAATCCCTCTGCAGAAAAGGTTACAGAATGCCGTTCTTTATAACCAAAGAACTTCTATATGACTGACCGATTTTGCTGTCCACTCTTGTTTCCTGTGTACATATATGTTTGACTGCAAGTTTGGTGCCATACTCCCCTTGGCTACCAGGCCACGTGCTGCCGTTCTGTCCTGTTTCATAAGCACACTGAAAACTCCCACAGCTGTGTTCTTTGGTCTTCCACCTGGCCTGCCACCTGCTGACCTGACATTGTATTATAACCGTTGACAGTGACTGGGGCTCTGCCTCCAGCATTTCTCATACCTTGGTCCAGCCCAGCAAGGCAGGCAGAGTGCGGAAAGCAGTATTACTGTAGAAACACAAGGGCATACCAAGAGTTGGATTGGGGTGGGGGAGGGGGTGTGGATTTTTGTCTCTTCGTGGTTTTGTTTGGATTGGTAGGTTTCATTGTGGTATGGTTTTTACTGTTGCTATTGTACTTAATTCTGGAAAATGCTGAAGAGTTGGAATGAGCTGTACAGTACTCACTTCACCGTGTTTGCAGGAGACGATTGAATACAGATGACCTGCTGTCCCTGTCTCCACGTGGAAAATGCTCCTGCTAATGGAGACATGGAGAGGAGCGTGTGTGCAGAAGGTGTTACAAAGGTGCTTTATGTGCCTGTTCTGAAGATGCCTGTGCAGCTGGCCTGGAGGACAGCAGTCGGTGTGTGTGAGAGCGAGGGATGGTGCACAGCCCTCTGCACCTTTGTTCTTTAAGTTCTTAGCATCAGTAAGTGAGTAAGATATTGGAGACTTTAATGAAAAGCTGCTGTTCATGATTTTTGTGTATAGTGAGCTGACTGTAGTATTTTACTATTGTCTGTTTTGAAAAAGAAAAACTGTAATTTATATCCCCTTTCAACTTGATCGTATTTAATTGGTACAGATGTGTGTGTGTGTGTGTGTGTTTTAGAATACAGACGGTCTAATTCAGGTTTTAAAACAGCAGTTGTTTGTCTTTAATACTCTGCCATTAGTTTCAAATCTGATTTTCACATTTGTGTTTCTCATGTCCCTGCAGCTTAAACAATAATAGTCACAGCCAACATTCATTGAGGGTTTAGTACCAGGCACTGTTCCCAACATATGATATTTATTATCTCCTTTAATCCTCACAGCAATAGATGCCGTAAGTACTGTTGTTACCATGTGTTTGATGAATGGAAAACTGAGGTGGAGAGGGTAGTGACTGGGAGAGGGATTTTTCTCACACTTCCAGCAGTTCCTCCGACCTGTGTTCTGTCTGGTGACGTATCATGGAGGGCCAGGCAGGACTGTGGTGAGTGTCAAAGTCCCAGACTGACCAACACTGGTGGGGCATCTGCAGCGGAAAGGACAGAATGTGTTAGTCCTGCTCATGGTGCCTAAACAAATATTTAGAGCAAGTAGCAGTGCCTGCCATCCATAAAATAGTAGTTAAAGGTAGCTTAATATGAAAGACTGACCTACAAATGCTATTATAGAATCTTTTCAGGAAAATCTCAGTTGTTTACAATAGCCTTTCTGAAGTATCAAGAATTAAATCTAACTTCTGGACAGAAGTGTCATATATTCTGCCAAGAAAAAATAGAAGGGGAAAAGCCCAAAACTTCTTTGGATTTTACAAAATAGGGGGTGGGGTGAACAGCAGCTATATAATATTTAAGTAAACTATTACAAATACAAACACAGTTCCAGACAAAATGGACAAATCATTATTCCCTTTACTAGTGTGAGATCAATGGCATTGTCATTTGTCATTATGACGTGGGAGAGCAAACTGGTTTTAAGACATAGTTTATTGGATAGTTAAGTATAAGCATGGGTTTAACAGTTAATTTCCAAAGTACATTATTACCATTGTCATCACATTTATAGTTATTTGGACACATTTTATCATAACAAAAATATAGCCTTGTGTTTCTAGGGCACCCCCTAAAATGAAGACTAGCTTAATAAAAATATCTTTAGGGTTAGGTAAGGGCAAGAGGCTATCTTCTATTAAATTATCCTGCACTAGCCAATACTTTTTTTTTTTAATTACAATATTCAAGCTTTAGAACTGTATTGGAAAAAACAACTAATTACATGATGAAGCTTTATTTTTAAAAGTAAAGCTTTCTATTCATATAATTAAAAAGTCTTAATAGAAGATATAATTGAATCAGTTCTTGCTATCTCCTTTTCTGGACCAAGAGCTAAAAACAGAAAAGGATGCTCCCGTAGGCAGTCACATAGAGAGCTTTTTGTATTCAGCTTTGAACTTGTTACAGTCACACTAGCACAAGTCTCTGTAATGTGAAGCCTACCTCCTAAATTAAAAAATGACAACAAAAAGTCAATCAGTCGTATATAGTTTTCAGACTTTTTCCTAACCTAGATGAAAGGCAGTGCCCAGCAACGTCCCACCAGACATCTGGGAGTTGCTACAACACCCAGGTGGTGGGGGACCTGGACCAGAGATGACTCCATGAGAATCCTGGGACACGGGCTCTGCTCTTTAACTTGTCATGAACTGGTGCTGACAGTAATGAAGACAAAATCCTAGAGTCTAAATTAACCTGCTTGTCATTTGTTTCTAACACCTCAAGGTGCGGGAGAGATCATTGCAGATTTAAGTGCCACGAGTTAATTTAAGTTGAAATAAAACCTAGTCGTTACTTTTCAGGTGTTCCAGGACACACACTCACCTCTGTGCATTCTGAGGAAAACAAGTTATTTTCCCTTCTCTGAGGCTCACTGGGTGCCTCTGTTATTGCATGGAGTTCTTACAAGACTGCAGCTCAAGAAGGTGCTCAGGTGCCTCAGTCACTGTAACCTGAGCCCAGCTGGCAGCAACCACCCCCTTGGAGCTTACTGCAGGTTTTCTCAGCACCAGAGTGTCCCTGAGAAAGGAACTCTTAAATCCTTATGGGACCCTATTCATGGAGACAGTGACAAGCTCATTAATAGAACAATGAATGTCTTGTAAGAAAAAAGTAAGTTTTGAAATTGGAGACTCAGGAAGAAGAAAAGATTAACTGGAAGAAAGAAAAAAAAAATGCCCAGTTTGGTTTTATAGCACAAACCAACTTGACCCTGTCTCAGTACATGCCTAAAGCACTTGTAACTTTGGACTTTAAAACTGGAAAACATTGGTGTTGGTAACAACTTTCAACAGTTATTTTGGACCTTCATCTAAATACCTGCCTGAACCCAACCACTTAAAGATGTTCTTAGGTTTCTTTGTTATTGTTTGTCTTTTCATCGTCTAGCATGAGTTTGGGGGAATATCAAACAGAGTAGATGTATTTTTCTTTGACTAAAATTTTTAGAAAAGTATGTATGAGCCAAAAGCCACACCTTCATGTGACTCACCCATCTTGAATCAGCATAATCTTTACCTCGTGTGTGGTCAACCACATGTAGGCCAAGCTGCTTACAAACCCCAGTGTTAAAATACTTAGCCGCAGTAAGTGCCTGGAAGAACAATTACCAGGAAGAAGGATATAAGATCTTACCTCAGTACCACTTGGACCCAAGGCTGTCTTAATGATATGAAATGCCAGTTTACCCAAATTGTTTTCTAGTCCTTTTTTCTATAGTGGGAAAGCTAGTTATTAATCTATTGCTGCAAAATAAATTACCCTTAAACTCAGCAGCTTAAAACAGCCTAAAACACCACCTCACAATTTCTATGGGTCCAGAATTCAGGAGTAGTACTTCTAGGTAATTCTGGCTCTAATTGCTCTTAAGGTCACAGTCAAGAGGTCAGCTGGACCCCTGGCCGGTGTGGCTCAGTTGGTTGAACATTGTTCAGTGCACTCAGAGGTCCTGGGTTTGATTCCAATGCCCAGGCTCTGGGCTTGACCCACAGTAGGGGGCATGCAGGAGGCAGCCCATTGCTGTTTCTCCCTCTCCCTTTCTCTAAAATCAATAAAAGCATTAAAAAAGAGGTCAGCTGGGGCTGCAGTGACTAGGACTTGGGAAACCCACCTGTGGGTGCTTCCCCTCCTGACACTGGAGCTTCCTGGCCGTGCACCCCTCTCCACACCGCTGAGTGTCCTCACAGCATGCTGTTGTCTTTCCCTGAGTGAGGGGGCCAGAGAGAGCCAACAGAAGCCACAATACAGTGCCTTTTATGACCTGGTCTCAGAAGTCACACTTGGTCACCTCCACCACATTCAATTCGTTAGAAATGAGTTACTAGTCCAGCTCCCTCCTCCCACCCCAAGGAAAGGGAATTAGCTCTTCCTTTTGAGAAGAGGAAAGTCTAAGAGTTTGTAGACATTTAAAACCATCATAACTAGTTAACAGTTATATAGTCAAGACCATGGGGCAAAGCAAAGCTCACTGGAACCTTTGAGTGAATACAGGAATCCAACTCTTATTTATAAACGGTAGGATGAAAAGGAAAGCCATACTTCCATGGAAGAAAAAGGAGATACTAATTAAGTGAACTAGGGTGATCTGAATGTGTGAGTTTTGGGCTGGTAATCAAATACCACTAATATTCCTGGTAGAGGCAAATAATCAGAAACCTAAGTTTGCTTCTTGCTATAGTTATGTTACCGGATTCCAGGGCAGAAGGAATAGGGAAAATGAGACAGGAAAGTTAAAACAAGGCCAGACAGTGTGGGCCATTTGCAGCCAGTTTGTAACTAACAAGCCATTATCTTCCGCAACCAAGGACACAGAGCACATAGTTCAAACAAACAAACAAAAAACTCTCCCTAATGAGAGAACGCAGAAAGGGAAGGGAAAGGGGAAAGGAAAAACAGGCAGTTTTATTCCCTAAACAGAGAAGCCAGCAGTCTCAAGGTTTGGCAAGATACAGTTACCAGGTGCTTCTCATGATTTCTGGGAAGGCCACAACAAAGTAAAAAATTAGGGACCTGGAGAATTAATCTGTACCAAAATGTTCAGCAGAGGAATTTTGAGACCCAAGTAAAAAGGGACCTTGAGAATTAATCTGTACAAAATTATTCTGCAGAGGAATTCTGAAACTTGTAGACAGGAGAGTATATAACACCTCAAACCCCAACCCAACTTGCTCTTCAGATTAGCTGAGAGCCCATCTGTGCTTCATAAGCCAGATGTATAGGTTTGCTTGCTTTGCTTTTTCAATAAAGGTGCATGCTTTAATTGCTTTCATAAATTGGCTTTCACAACGCAGTCAAGGTCTCACATAAATTCATTTACATGAGAAGACAGTGATTGAGGTTGAGGACAGCCCTCTCCCACTAGCTCAGGGGGCTGTCCTGTCTGGTAACACCTCTCTGATGTTGGTGAGAGGTGCCTTTAACAGTTATATTTTCACATTTGATTCTTTTCAGATTTGCTTCATTGGAGGCACAAGCACATAAATATATTGGATGGCTTTGCTCAAAATAGGAATTAACTCTTAGGAAATTCAAACACATCTTTGCTTATTAAGGCAAGCAATAGTAATGATTGGCTTTAGGAATAAAACTGCCAATAAGAGTTTATGAATGAAGATATTTTTTTTTTTTGCTAAAGAGATTGACAATGATAGTATTGTTTTATTATTAAAATGTTATATAGATCCAATTGTTTGGAAATAAGCGAAAGAGGCTCAAGACTCTTGAAGTTTGTAAAATGAAACTTGAAATCCAAAACAGAATAAGTGGAAAAAGAAATTTAAAATAAAAGGATTTTTTTTAAATAGTTTAAAAAAGAAAACAGGTAACAAAAAATTAAAAATAGGCTAACAAGAATGGTGCAGGTACGTACAAAAGGAGTCCTGGATAGTTTCTTCCTGTTTAAAATTCAACTCTTTCAGGCAAATATTCATCCAAACTCAGCATGGGAGCTCTTTCCCCCTCACCCACCCCCCACCCCGCCTTTGGTCTGTCCCTCGGCCCTCTGGCCTCCCAGGATGGGTCTGGAAAGCACCATTAGTTGTCCTATCAGCCCAGGTCCATGCCTGTAATCTTGTGTCCTCTGCTGCCTCCTGCTGACCCCTG